CTGTGGGTTGCACGCACAGCTCCCTCTGGGCACCCACACCCCGTGCCAGGACCACTATCGCTCCGTCCCCAGAAGGGATGGTGGGTGCAGGGGGCATCCTCTGTGTGTTGCCCACTCTCCTCCATGCACTTGGGGTGCCAGCTGCCTTTTATCCAGGGCTCTGAGGGGCTAAATGCCCTTGTGGAGGTGGCCAGGGTCCTCAGAGTCCTAAGCCGCTGTGGGCCAGAGTACTGTGGGTCAGTTCCACGAGCCCAGATCGTGGCAGGGGTCCTGGGGGCTGGCTCTGGGCCCTCAGGCTACCTGTTTTCCCTTCTGTCCCCTGGAGCCTCCCTGGACTGCACCCCATTTTCTGGCACCCTTCAGCTGGCCTCTGCCCTGTGCTCTGTTGGCCTGAGAACCATTAAGGCAGAGGTGCTAGGATCCACGCTGGGGCTGGGAGGGCTGCAAGCTGGGCCATGTTCTCCCTGGGCTGCCCAGGCCGGCTGCTTACCCAGGCCACCCTGGCGAGGAGGCCCCTCAGCCTTGACCCACCCACTGGCCTCCTCAGCTGTGTTACTGGGGGCTTCCTGTCCTGGCCCCTGGGTCTGGCTCTCCAGGGGTCGGGGGTGTGAATCTAGGAGGAGAAGGTGGATGTCCCACCATCCCAGCAGGACCCCCAGCACTGGCTTAGGGTGAGCCTGCCACACCTGCCAGGCCCTGCCTGCTGGGGACAGCCCTACCTGTGGCTCCGTGGCCCTGGCCCTGGCTCTGGTGATGGGTGGCTCTCCCACTGCTTGGAGACCTGGGGCCTCTCATGGAGATGAGCCTGTATGGCGTGGAGGCCCTCATCCTGGGTGGGCTTCCCAGAGACCCCTCCCTACTGCTCCAAGTCCTTTCTGGTCCTGTGACCCCCTTCCCAGCTCCTCCCAAGGTTTCTGACCCAGGTTGGTGGCTGTTGCCTTCCCTGAGGGGAAAGAGAGAGGAGCAGGAAGCAGTGGGGGCAGGGCAGGGTGCTGGACCCATGGTGGGCAGTGGTGGCCGCCCCAGGGCAGGTGGCAGGCTGGGTACTGTGTGCCTCCAGGAAGTTCTGCCGGGAGGACCCCAGGCCCACTGCTGGCTCCACACTCACCAGGTAGAGAGCTGGAGCCCGGGCATTCTCCCGAGTGTCCTGTGTGCCTCACACCCCGACCCACACCACACTGCAGCCTCATCACTGTGCTCTCTGCTGCCCCTGAGTGTCCGGTGGCTGTAGGCTTGCTTGGAGGGGCTGGACTGGGAGAGAGCCCCAAGGCCCTGGGCTCATTCTCTCTGGGTCAGTCTCTCTTTCTCTCCTCTCACTGTCCCTAGCTCTCTTCCCCTTGCAAGAGCTCTTATTCTTTTTTTTTTTTTTATAAATATTTATTTATTTTTATTTATTACATTTATTTATTGTGTGTGTGTGTGGCCAGCTCAGCCCACCAGGGGGCGGGTCTGGCTGGCATGTGGTGCTGGGGATCGAACCGCGGTCCCTGTGCTTTGCCAAGCTTGTTTCAAGTAGGTGCTTTAGACCACTGAGCCATCTCTCCAGCCCCAAGAGCTCTTATTCTTGAAGCAGGGATTGGCCCAGTGCTCTTTGTCCCTCATCATTCAATGAATACCTGACGAAGTGGCCAGCGCACCCCTTCTGGGGGTGGGGATCAGAGGTCAGAGGGGCATGCGGGAGGCCAGGGGCTTTGGCTGGAGCCAGCAAGGCTGGTCCCCTTCTAACCGTGGTGCCTGTTGCCCCCTGAACCCCATCGCAGCTGGACAGGAGCCAAGCCAGGCTGGTGTCCTCCCAGGCTGGCAGCCCTTCAGGCCCAGTGGGGCAGGGGCCTTGTGCGTGGGCCCCATCTTTGGAGGCTCCTAAGCCAGAAGGGTTCTGTTGCATCCCCAAGGTCCTGGGGCTTGCGTGGCAGGGTTGGCAGGGACCAGCAGCGAGTGCCTGGGAGGCAGGAGGCCAGCAGTTCCTGTGGAAAGCCAGCCTGGCCAGGGAGCCGCCCCAGCTGTGGCAGTGTGGACTGAACTTCCCACTCTGGATCTCAGGAGCGCACATGGGGGGCACCCAAGCGGCGGCAGCCGTTCCCAGCCACTCTGTTTTCCTAAATTGAAACATCATTTTCTCTGTTTTGCTTTTGACAGAAATGTGGTTCCCTCCTGAAGCAGAAAAAGCTCTGGGCTGGGCTGCTGTGTCTGAGGTGCGCAGTGGCAGCTTTGGGAGTCGGGCCGCATGTGACCCCCTTCCATGCAGGCCTGACTAGCAGGCGGGAGGGGAAGGCAGAGCGAGACCTCCAGTGGGCACATTGTCCAGGGTGGGTCCTCCAGGGTGCACCTGGGTAGGCGGAGCGTGGTGGTGTCCTGGAAACTGGACGGCTCTGCTGGGCACAGCCCAAGCCCTAGGTGCCCGGGCATCCCTCTAGGTGAAGCTGCTGTTCCAGTGGGGTAGCAGGCGGGGCAAGGGGTGGAGGCGTGGGGTCCACAGGGGCAAGCCCACCCCCTCAGGCAGAGGGGCAACTGTTAGGCACATGGATGGCGCTCGCCACAGCTTGCCTGCCAGGCTCCCTCACCTGATGCCCCTTCCTGCGGCTGACGTGGGTGGCGGGGAACAGCAACCTCTTGGCAAAGCCTGGGAGAGGGTGGGCCATGCCTGACACTGGGGCTGCAGAGTGTGATGCCCTACCAGGTAGGCATGTGTACCAACTGGGCATGGCCAAGCTGGGGCTGGAGGGGCACCCAGGAGGTGGGGTCTCTGGGCATCTCCCACGTGGCCAAATTTCAGCTACCCAGTTATCCTCGGCAGCCAAGGCCTGTCAGAGGCAACTCTGAACCCTGGCCACCCCCGTCCCCTCCTGGTTGCCACCCCTGACTCTGGCCCAGCCTGGCGGAAGACTCCAGGGGAGACCTTCCTGGCCTGGGAATGGACGCCTGTGGACTCTGGGTGCTGGCCAGGGACACAGCCAGGTCCTGCCCACGCCACATGTCTGCACGAGGCCTTGGAGCTGCTGCTGAGTGTTTTATTGAAGCCATCGGCTGGGGAGTCACATGCCCCTACCCCGTGTCCCAGCTGTTGGGAATGTGGCACGGGCTCTGTGGGAGGAGGCTGTTCCAGGGCCGTCTGTGGGGCTCACCTCAGGCTTGGTCCTGGAGCCCTCTTCAGGGCTAGGGGTGCCAGCTGCCCCTCGGCAGGATGCGCAGGTGCTTGAAGGCAGGAGGCAGCGCGTGGCCCAGGAACGGAGGCGACGTCACGTCCTGGATCATGACCACATACTCCCCTGCAAGGCGGGGCACTGCTGGTCCTTCGGCTCCCAGTGGCACCCCACAGGTCTTTCAGCCTGCTCCCACCTGCCCAGGACCTGCCACGCCTTTCTGGGGCTCTAGGCCCGCCCTGCCCTTCTCCAGGTTGCTGGGCGCTTGGTCAGCGAACACGCAGAAAGGAGCCCGAGGGGCACTGCCTGGGGGGCCGCAGCCGCCCTGGAGCCGGCGCTGGAGCTGCAACCGCTGAGGCCTGGGGCTGGGCCGCTGTCCAGGCCCTGGCCACGGGGCCCCCCATGTCCACTGGGCCACATGGCTGAGGGACTCTGTTGGGGGAAAGCAACTCATCTCCTCCGAACTGCTTGGAGGCATGTTAGAGCACTGCCTGCCCTTGCCGCGGCCCTGCTGGGGGCTCCAGGGGAGGAGGAAGAGTGCTTTTCCTTTCTGCAGCCTGTAAACTGTCTGGAGAGCTTCAAAGTTGGAGAAACCATAAAAAAGAAAATAAGAAATAACAAAAAGGGAGGTTGCCATAGAGACAGTCCTCTCCCCTCCCCTGAGCCCGCCAGGGCTGGCACCGGAGAGGGAAAAAAGCTCCCGGCTGGCCGGGGCTCACACCAGGAATGCGGCCGCAGCTGCACTGGGGGCAGGAGTCGCCCACACCACCGAGCAGGGCAAATCGACATTCCAGACACCAGGCTGGAAAACGGGCGGTCACTGTCCACCTCGGCCGGGCCGAGGGCTGCGGGCGCCTGCGCGTTCCTGGCAGGACGGGAGCGGGCCTCAGGGGCCCGAAGGAATCTGCCGCCTGAGCCAGCCCCTCGGCCTCCGGGGCTCGTCCCGGGCGGGAGGGCGCACATTTGCAGCTGGCGCAGCAGCAGGCCCGCCTCCCTGGCGGCGGAGGGGAAGCTGCGCATAGCGACGCGGCCGGCCGCGGGTTCTCAGCAGCCGTCTCCAGGCGCTGCTGAGAACACGGCTCAGCCGGCCAAGGGCGGCCGCCAGGGGGCCGGCGTGAGCTCGGCGGGCAGTGTGCGCAACCAGGCCCAGGCCTGAGCTGACCCCACGCTGGGCCGCTCGGGGACAGGAAGGCTGCAGGAGGGGCCAGGGCCTGGGTCCCTTGGCTGGTGCCGGCCCTGGGGCTTGGCCAGCCCTGACTTCACTCTGTGGCCCAAAGTCTGAATCCTTGCCGCAGCCTGGAAAGCAGCAGCCTCTGCCAGACGCCTGTCTGGGACGTGACCCTGTGGGCTGAGGGGCTGCCACCCAGCAGTCTCCTTGCAGCACCAAATGGTCAGTGGCCCCAAGCCCTGGGGACCCCAGTGCCCATCTGCTTCCCTGGGAACCAGGCCCTGGGTGCCCACGCTATGCCCAAGAGCCCAGGGTGGGGCGGTCACACCTGCTGCGCTACCCTGGAGTCCTGCCCCCTCCTGGCTCAGGGCCCTGTCCCTGCTCCGGGAGCCTCTGGGGACCCGTGAGAAGTGAGCCTGGACATGGAGCCCGCCCTCCTGGCCAGGCCTGGAGGCCCCACGGTAGGGTCATTTCTGTCGGGTGAGAGCAGAGGCACCCTCTGCTGGATGCACCTCGGGTGCCAGGGCCCAGGCCCTCCCAAGGATCCAACCTGGGGTGGCGATGACACCATCATTGTCTCAGGTTTGGTGAAACTTCACATTCTTGGGGTGCTTGGGAGACCCAGGCCAGGCTCTGCAGGGTGTAGCTCAACCCGCGGACGCTGCCCAGGCCTCGCCCGGCCCCATGCTGCCCTGGACTTGGGTGGGCAACCATGGTAGCATGGTGCTGGATGAGTGGTGCCCCTTCCCCGATCCTGACCCTTTGCTTCCTGGGCCACCACTGGTGCAGGCAGCCGCAGCTCCTGGCCCCCGAGGAGGTGCCTGGCCACCCAACGCCTTTGCTCCCTACCACCACGTTCTCCTTGAGCCCTGCTAGCCCACCTCTGCGTCGTTCTGGAGCCCAAGCTCCCACTGGCCCCCAGCCCTGAGGCCTCTCCTCATCTGGGCCCCAGAAGAGCTTGTACTGCCCTCAGGTGCCCAGCCCATGGGTCTGAGTACCAGGCCTTGCCCCCCTATTGTCCCACTGGCCCATGGATATCACGGCTCTGCCTACCTGGGTACAGCTCGGACGCTAGGTCCACTGCAGTCCTGTCGGGCCTGTGGGGAGAAGGGGTCACCTGAGTCCTGCACCCTGAGCAGGGCAGTGGCTCTGACGGGCCCAGCAGGCACAGCTGAGTAGGTTCTGGGCCCTGTCCGCCTGTCCACACCTCGTGTCTACACTGGAGAGTCCTGAGGCTGCATCTCCGCCCTCCAGTCCTTGAGCAGCCCAGGGACACCAGGCAGCTGTGTGGAAATCGCCCCATGCCGCAGGCTGAGCTGCTCCTGGGACTCCCTGGAGGCACCAAGGACTGCACCACTTCCAGCAGCAATTGTTGGCACAGTCAGCCGGGCAAAGCCGATGGCACTGCCGTGTCCCTCGAAGGACCAAGGCCAGTATCAGCTGGCTCCTCCATACTCGGGTGCACAGCAGAGGAGGCCTGTCCTGGGCCTCACTGTCGGAGTGACTGAGACTCCCACACTGGCCACAGCTGCCTGCATCTGAACACGGGTCCCATGGAAGGGCTTCAACTCCCCACCCCTGTCCCCGATCTGCAGTGGGGATGGGTGACCCTGCCTACCCTAGCAGCACCTGCAGCCAGCTCACCACAAGGGGCCTGGAGAGCAGAGCCTGACCCACACCTGTTTCTGCCCAGCCTTTCGCCTCGCCTGTGCTGGGGTGGCCACCAGGCCAGTCTTCCGGCTGCCATCCAAGGCCGAGTGCATGGCTGGCTGTGTCGTGGACTGTGAATCCATCCATTCCATCCAGGCCTCTAGACTGGGACCCCATGTCTGTCGCTGGCTGAGCTGGAGCTGGGGACCAAGATCCCAGCGCTACTGGAAGCACCAGGGCTTGGGGACAGGTCAGCTCTGCCCCTCTGGAAAGTTAAGTGTCCTTGGTATGGTAATGACAAGAGATTTCCGAATGACTTTTTTTCAAATGACTTCTTTTTGAGTGGAGAGAAATGGGCCTGGGCCGGGCCCCAGGAGTCACATTAAAGACGGAAGTGCAGAGGAGGAGGGGAGAGAGATAAATAATTTAGCACCCAGGAAGGCTACAGGCTGCTGCCCGCCAGCTCTGTTACAAGACTCCCAGGTCCTGCAGCACCCCAGGGCTTTGAGGACCACAGCGGAACCAGGCAGGGCAGGGAGCCAGGAGCCAGGACTAGCGGCAGATTACCAGGTGGTGTGGTGGCCGCCTGGGGTGGGCCTGGGGCCAGGTTCCACGCAGGCCGGGATCCAGGCAGGCTGGAGCAGAAGCACCCAGTAGCACGGGAGGCCCCAGAACCTCGGATGAGCACCCGCTGTGTACCGGGCACCGGGACCTGGTTGGGGGAGGCCTGGTGCTAGGCCTAGGTCCTTCCTCCTAACTGGGTGTGCTTTCGGCTCATGGGCATTCTGGAGTCTGAGGCTCTTTATTTTCTCCATTAAATTTGACAAAAATTTGTCCTAATTAAAAAGTGTAGCTCTTTTCTGAAGCCTTTCTTTGCCTCCCTCATTGGGTCTCCAGCTGCAGCTGGGTTTGGTGGCTTGTAGCCCACGTGTCCGGCCCGTCCCATCCCCTGGGGGCTGCCATTGGGCATTCAGTGGCCCTGTCCTTGTAGCCGTCTTTCTTTCTGCGAGGTCCATGCCGTGTCCCACCTGATGTGCTCCCTCCCCATACTCGCTGTTACCTCCAGCTGTTTTGGGCGCAAGGAACAAACCTGGGCTCTCACACAGACTCCCAAGTACCCGCCTCTCCTGGTCTCTGCCCACCTTCTGCTCAGAAACCTACAAGGAGACACAAGGCGTCTAGCAGCAGTGGCAGCTGGCTCGAGCCTGCCAGTCTTCCTGGTTGTGGCAAAAAGGGCCTTTCCGGCTCTCCCATCAGCCTCTGCATTCTCTGCTTGCTGAGGGCTCTCTGGTCAGATCCCAGATGCAGGGAACCTCACCATGAGGGTGCTGGCTATCTGTGGACCCCTGTGAATGTTCTTGTTGCTGCTGTTACTTGGGGACAGCATAAGTCTTCTGGGACGTGATTCCAAGGTTCGCCAGGCGGGTGCAGGTGGGGGTGACTACCCGGAAGCCCAGGGGTGAGCCTGCGCCACCCTGTGTCCCGCCTGGCCGCGTGTGCTTGGCCACTGGGCCCGGCCCTCCGGGGTTCTCTCCCTGCTCTTTGGTCACCCTTCCCCCACTAGTGTGCAGGGCAGAGCCCTGCTGGGCTCAGGGGTTCCTCTGCCTCAGCACCCACACTGCCCAGTCCTGGTTCCTTGCCTCAGGGCACCAAGCTTGCGCAGGCCTCCCCTGGGCCCACAACACACATGCCCGGTGTCGGGCCCCTGGATGTCACCGTCCTGCCCCCTTCCGTGCCCGGTGTCTGAGCATCTGGCTTGGGTCTCTTTCCCCGCTTTTCACTTGTTCATTTCCAAGCTGTCACACCATCTGGGGGACAGCTCAGCAGCAGCCCAGGTTCAGCAGGCTCTCAAGGTGAGGGAGGACCCGGGCTGGGTGCGAGGGTGGTGACGCCTCTGGAGGCCGCAGCTCTTGCCAAGGCTACCTACACTGTCCCAGGCCCCGAGGAGACCCTGCCCCCATCCCGACCTCATCTTGGGTCCCTGTGGTGTACACTGAGGCCGGAGACGGTGGGCGCCCTGGGACACAAAGGCTGTCTCTCCTTTCTCTAGGACCATGTGATCTCTGAGGGACCACAGGGCAGGGAGGGACACAGAGTGGGGGCACTGTCGGGCCTAGGCCCAGAGCCCCGCCCAGTCGGAGTGTGTCCCACCCTTCTCCTTGCTGGGGCTGTCGCTTCTGTGATGTCTCTGCTGCCCGGAACCACTGAGGCCACAGCGCCCCTTCCATGGCCCCAATCCCAAGACCGTGAAGGACAGTGAAAAGGACAGGCACCAGAACCCCCTTCAGACCCAAAGAGCTTTGCTTGGGTGTGGCCAGGGCTCTTCGGGCCCAGTCCATCCCAGCTTCTGCACCTGCTAGGGTGCTCAGCTGGCTCTGGGCAGTGCCCCCTGCAGTGGCACCCCCTGCCTCCTGTCCACAGGCCACGTGGTGCTGATGGTGGCATCCCAAGACCCATACTGCATGTCCCTCTGGAACAGCAGTGCTGGCCTGGAAAGTGACAGTCGCTTAACTAGCCATGGAAGCTGGTGTGCAGATCTGTGAGGTGGACGGTCTCTCCTGGGGAACCTGGCGATGGGCCTGTCCTCATGAGCCTGGCCACTGAAGCTCTCTGGGCCACAGGGACGACACTCAGCCCAGGGAGCTTCAGTCCCGGAGCCCCAAAATGCATCTGAGCTGAAAGGGCAAGGCCTGGAGCATGGTGTCGGGGGACTGCGGGGATGGGGCACCTCGCCGGCTCCTGGAGGGACCATGTGGCCCCCCACCATGGTCCGTCCTAGAGAGCTGGAGCCGTGGGAATGCGTGCAGAGACACTGTCACCTGTTCATCGAGGACGTGAGCCCAGGGAAGGATGGCCTGACTCCCGTGGACACAGATTCTGGGACTGCACTGGGCAGCGTGTGGGCAGAGGGTGGCACTGCAGCTGGAGTCTCTGGGGCCCTCTCTGATAGCAGGCGCCCTCCGCGAGCCCTGTTTGCTTCGGGCCATTCCTTGGAGCCAAGGCAGGCGGGAAGCAGCCGCTGCGCAGGGATTAGGGCGCCCGCGGCATGGGGACATCCGTGCCCAGCTGCTGCCGCCGGCTGTGCACCTGCCCAGTTTGTTTCCTGCCTGGACAGGACGGGGCTCACTTTTCAGAACTTACGAGCTCACTAAGGAATGAGGACCGAGGCCACCTGCCTGTTTCCTGAGCTCTGCCGGGGGGCTTCCTGGGGGCAGGGATGTGCCTGATGGGGCGGCCCGCGGCCTCAGCCCTGAACGCTCTCTTGCTCCCTGCAGCACCAGCTCAAGGACCGTTCTTTTGTCTCTGGATACCATGCCCCAGCTGCCCCTGGACACAGCCACCCCAGGCCAGCCTCTGCCCTGGTGCCCTGAAGCTGCGCCTGAGTTCTCCCCGGTGGCCTGGGCTTCATACCCACACCCTTCAGGACCCTGGGGTTCCCTGCATCTACTCACAGGCACGTGCCCAGGGCAGCCAGGCCATGTGGACTGGGACAGCCTGCTGCAGCCTGAGCTGGCCTGGTTGAGCCGGGTGCCCACACCCCAGCAGGAGCCTGTGGGTTGCGAGTTTCCAGTCTACTGTGCTCTGAGGGGGTGCCGTCTGCGCGCAGGGCCCTGAGGCTGTCTGAGTCACGCTCCACAGCCCCGTGGCTCTGCAGGCCTCGACTGTGGTGGGAGCTGGGGCTCCTGCTCGAGGCAGGACTGGGGCCATCCGGTCTGTCTAGGTCCTCAGAGCCATCAGTGGCGGTGGGCAAGCTTCCCGCCTACTGCAGGTCCGCAGAGGAGCCCTTCCTGGGCTGGCCCTGCCCAAGTGGCTGGCCAGGTGTGGGCAGAGCAGGACCTGGGGGTGTGTGGTCACCCTGACCAGCATGGGGGGTGGGGACTGCCCACTGTCAACTGTCTTTTCAAGTAAAAAATAAATAAATAAATTGATAGGCCATCTGTGTTGGCCTAGTGACAGATTTAAGTGACCGGTCACGAAAGTCTCAAACTCATTTTCCTCCAGAAGCAGGAGGAGGGGCTCCAATGGCCTCCAGGGCTGGATCCTTTGCAAGAGGCACCAGGAGCCACTGGGCACCCAGCACACGCCTGGGCAACAGATTCTGTCCTCCACGGGCCCGCGGCTGCTGCATTTATCTCCTCCTCGGGCTGGAGGCTCGGGCTTCAGTGGGAGCAGGGTCCTGCGGACGCTCACGGAGCCATATCAGCTCATGGCCGCGGCCCCCCCCCGCCCCCCATGATCTCACTTTGCTTTGGGAGCAACAGGCCGGCTCCCGTGGTGGGACAGCCTTGTGCCTGGAATGCCTCCACAGGAATGTGGCCGGCCGGGGTCTCCCAAGGCTCCCGCCCAGGAAACAGGCACAGCCCAGCTGGGCCACCGCGGCTCTTCAAGCCCCTGCCTGCTGCCCCAATGGCTGCTGCCATGGTCCCCTGCATGAGCTGTGTCCAGCGCTGAGTGGACAGACACACAACACCCCACAGCCAGCCGTCCTTGCTGGGTGCTGTATGACCCGACCTGGTGGCGACTTCTTCCAGAGCAGGAGCTGGTGCTGGGGTCTCTGGGGGCCCCTGCTGGGGCTCCAGTAGCTGCCACCTCCTTCCTGGTGCTGGGCATGAACTCAGGGCCTTCACACAGAGCCCAACCCCCGGACCTTGTTTTTATTTGAAGGCAGGCCTCACTGAGTGGCTCTGTTGCCCAGGCTGAGCCAGTGTCTGTGATCCTCCTGCCTCAGCCTCCCAGCATGCTGCGGTCACAGGTGACCAGGCCCCGAGGGCTCACATGGGTGGGTGGGATGGGGCTAGGCACTTCCCTGGGCTCTGTGCCCAGGAAACAGACTGGGTACCCTCCACCCTCCCACCCCCACCCCCGGGACATGAGGTGCCTATTAGGTCATTTTCCTTGTCAAAGATAATCCAGAGCTGTGCCTCCGGCTATCAGGGTGGCCGCCACTCTCCCCTCCAACCAGTGGATGCGGATGCGACAGAGCTGCTGAGCGGGGCTTGGGAGGGAAGCGCCCCAGTGGGCACCAGCGTTGCTGCCCACTGTGGAGTCCGGGGGTGGATGCAGAGTTGTTTTGAGTTACAGGGGCATGCTGTAGGCTCTCCCTTGCCTGGCTACCCTGACTGTCCCGGGGGGACCCCAACAGCACAGGCAGTGCCCCCACCCTTGCCTGAGCAGGGCCATCTAGGAAGGACAGCTGGGTCCTTGCTCTGAACCTGGGGCCACGGTGCCTGGATGCCAGTGCCCCAGCAGTCCAGCCCTCTTGGCTGACCCCGCACCTCATGTCCAGTCCTGGGACCAAGGGTCTCCAGTGTGGCCGCAGGGGCACCTGGCCCTACTCTTTGCCAGCAAGGCATGGGGCACCTGACCTCTTGCGTGTCAGGGAGGGCAGCAGCCAGCCACTGGCTTCGGTGTCCAGGTACAGCGGGGAGGCCGTTGCATGCGCCTGCCTCGGGGACCCATCTCGGTAGCCACAGGGTGCTCTTAGCACGTGGGATTCGGTGTGGCCAGGCTGGACGGTGGGGAGCAGCACCGCCTGGGCTCAGGCTGCCTCGCCCGTCCAGGGTGGTCGGGCTAAGCCCCGCCCCGGCCACGGGCACAGGTGGCTCTGAGAACTGGAGGTGGTAGCAGGAGCCGGCTGGGGCTGGCATCCCTGGGACGGGCAGATGCGCCTGTCACCTGTGGCGAGCCACTGGAGCGAGCACGGCCCTGGAGACACCTCAGTGGGAAGCGTTCTCCGTGACCTCCATACCCAGAAAGCAGAACCTGGGAAGCCCAGAAGCGAGTGTGGGCCCGGGGATCCCCAGAGGCCCGAAGAGATGCAAGTGCACAGGTGGCGCTGCAACCCACAACTCGCGAGGCAGCCCGGGACATCTGGGACCCACGAACTATGATTCTGGGACCCCAGTGACTCTAGCCTGTGGCACGCTGAGACCCCTGCATGGGCTGGTGAGGCGGGAGGACGAGCAGGCCGCCTGCCCATGGCCTCGGAGCAAGCGGCGACTCCTCGGCCTGGTCCCCCCGTGCTGGCTTATGCTGGGCTGCGGCCGTGGCGTGTGTGCTGGGTGGGCACAGGGCACAGGGCACCTGGCACGGTCATGCGGAGCATCTGGGGTAGCTCAGCCCCATGCCTGGCTCACTGTGGGCATTTTGCCACTGCTCCACCAAGGTTTGAACAACACAGGCTCTGTCCCTGAGACCAGGCAGTGCCTGGCAGGCTGGGGTGGGGGGCCCTGGCAGGGACCCAGCGAGTCCCCCATGACACCTGGGCCAGCGTGAGGGCCGAGGACATCCTGCCAGGTGTCTCTGTCCCAGTAGGGGCTGGGATCAGCCACCACAAGCTCTGAGGGGCAGAGGGACAGATCCCAGGCTTCTGCTATGTGACACACAGCCTTTGGATCTGTCACACTTGGTTTGGTCAAGCAATTGCTAAGCTCTGAGTCCCTGTGCCTCAGTTTCCCCCTCTGAAAACAGGACCAGTCATGGCGTGCAGGTGCATGTGGGGTCTATGCCTCTACCTTGTGCTCCTGCATACTGCCTGGGTGAGGGGATTGCTGCCACCGTGGGCCCATGGGGGCCATAGTCCTACTGCCTGGCTGCAGGCAGCCCCACAGGGCACTGCCTTCTTGAGCCTGCCTCAGGGGCTCCTCTAAGCTGTGCCCCCTGCAGATCCCTTGTCTGGGGCAGTTGTGCTGTAACACGTGGCCAGAGCCTACAGCCCCTAGAAACCCTGTGAGCGGTCCACGCTCCTACCTGGTGCTGCAGGGGATAGGCGCCATCTTCGCTGGGCTCAGGCTGTCCCCGTGCTTGCTGTCGGCCTGCTAGAGGGCCAGGGGTGGGAGAGGATGGGCTCAGGGGGGCTGGCACAGGCGGAGGGGCCAGACCCTTCCAGCTGCCCTGGCCCTGGTGCTCACCTGGCTGGGGCTATCCAGAGCTAGGAAGGGCTGGAGGCCAGGCGGGTGCGGCCCCAGGAGGACATCTGCGAACTCTGCGCAGCCTTGGATTGCACGCCGGTGGTCTCCAGGACTCGGGGGCTCCTTTGCCCTGGCTGGGAAGGCGCCCCGAACAAGAAAAAGTCTGAGTCACCAAACAAGGCACCAAGAGCCGCATTCAGCTTGTGAGCTGGTCTCCGAGTACGGATGACCGTAAGGGTAGGGAGCAGGCCCAGGCGCTCTACACGCACGCGGAAGGCAGGGCCCATTCGAGGGTGGACCCTGTCCGGCATGCCCCATGGGCCAACCTGAGTGCGGACAGGGCAGTGTGGACAGGCCAGCGTGGACAGTGCAATGTAGGGAGGGCGGTGTGGGCAGGGTGGTGTGGATAGCACACTGCGGGGGGAAGTGTGAATAGGGCGCTGTGGACAGGGCAGTGTAGGGAGGACAGCACACTGTGGGCAGGGAAGTGTGGACAGGGTGGTGTGGACAGGCTGGTGTAGGGCGGGCAGTGTGGATAGCGCACTGTGGACAGGGCGGTGTGGGCAGGGTGGTGTGGACAGGGTGGTGTGGACAGGGTGGTGTGGGCTAAGATGCTCGGAGCAAGGGGAGTGTGCAGTGGCCTGCCTCAGCCCCTGAGGCCCCTGGAGACCAGGGAAAGAGGGGAGTCTCTGATCTGTGCCCTGGGGCGTGCAGAAGAGGGCATCAGCCTCGGGACCACGGAGTCACAGGTGGGAGTTATTTTCCCAGGGGCGCCTTCATTTCCTCTGCAGTGTGGCATCAAAAGTCGGGCCCGCTCCTGCAAGGACGTCCCTGCGCATGGCTCCCTCCCTCCCACTGCTGCCCTGTGTACTTGGTGGGGCAGTGCCTGGGAGCCATTTCCATTCTTAATGCACTGTGGGCTCCACAGGCTGCAGGTGTGACGTGGCAGCCACACACAGGGCCCCTCCTGACTTGGCCAGCTGAGCCTGGCAAGGTGACTGTGCTCATGGTCGGGGCGGATGCCCCGGGGAGGGTGCGCCTGCACGTGCTGCGCATACCGAGAGCCAGCAAGCGTTTCCAGCAGGAAGCAGCACCTTGAAACCGGCTGGCTCTGTGCTGACTGCGTGGGGCCGTGAGAAGCTGGCTTATAGACGGGGGAGTGGGGTCTAGCTTGTCCGCTTAGCAGCACACAATGCAGGGGCTGGGGTGGCGATGGCGAGGCTGTGGGGACCAGCTCCAGAGAAACCCAGCAGGAGAACCCAAATCCTGGGGAGCCTGACCCCACTCAGGACAGCCAGGCTTGGGGCCACTTCTCAGGTTGTCACTTCCCTCGTCCTCAGAACCTGGCTGGGCACGGCCACCTGGCCACATGGACCTGGATCCTGGTCTCAGAAGGCAAAGGCTGAAGCTGGCTTTTCTTTGTGAGGTTGCTGGGAGGCTGGGTCCCATGTCCTTTCCTGGCGATGAGCACCGTGCCCCCAGGTGCCCAGACCAGATGCTGGGGTGAGTCCTGCTCGCCCGGCCCCTTTCCTGGGCCCCACGTAAGTCAGAGCAGGGATGGGGGACACCAGCTCTGCCTCCAGGAGACACACTGAGCACAAGCCGCGGCTGGATGTCCAACCTGGTACGTGCCGGCCTGGGTCTGGCACACTGCTCCTGCCCAGCCGTGCAGGGTCGCTCGTGCAATGGTGTCCAGAGGCGACATGGCATCCCCACCACCTGTCCTCGGGGACCTTGAGGCAGCGGGGAGGGGAGCCCTGGGATGTGGGGTAGCAGCTGGGGTCCCCCAGGTGCCACCCTGCAGGGCACAGAAGGGGACTCCACAGTGTGGGGCGACTGTGCCCCCGCCCCTGGCCCATTGCCATCCTCCCTGCTGCAGCTTTGTGCTCTTCCGCACATATGCACCACGCTCCCCCGAGGACGCAGCTCCTGCCCCGGTGCCTGCCAGCTGTCCATAGCACAGCCGTGGGAATCCAGCTCTTCCCTCCCTGCACAGCTGCCCCAGGCCACGTCCCCCAGTCTCTCCTGCCTCCTGTCCTGGGCTTTGTACACTTGGACGGGTCCTCGGGCTCCCAGCCCTGCTCTGCCTCTGGCCTGTGCCTTACCCAGCGGACCTTGGGTCTGTTCTGCCCAAGGGGGCCCACAAGCCCGCGTGCTTCAGCTCTACCCATCCTGGTCCCCCTGCTCGGGGGCTGGGCCCCCTGCACCCCCACCCCCACCACTGGGTGCTGCCTCCTCCCCCTTTGTCCCAGCTGGGGTGCATCTGTTTTGTCCCCAGGGTGGATTTCACTGGCCCCCGTGGGCTCTGGGTGGGTGGCTGCTTCTATGCCCATTGTTCTTGACACCCATGATGTCCACAGTCATGGTCCTGTCAGTCCCAACCACCGAGGAAAAAAGACTCTGCAAGAGCTGGGGAGCCCACACCCCGAGGCCTTGCAGGTGACTCCTAAGGGAAGCCGGCAGAAGCCAAGGGACCATGCTGGGCCACCCGCTCAGGAGCCCCACCGCCTTCAGCCGGTGCAGTGGCCCCACAGGCCCCTGTGGACTGGAGCTTGCGGCTCGGTTTCCACACTGCATGCCTGAGGCGTTGGGGCTGCTCCTGGAGGCTGCTGGGGTGCCCCTCCCCAGCCGAGCACCCTCGGAACCTTTCCGCTGACTCTAGTGACACAGCTTACAGCTCTATCAGCAAGATAAAGGTTGCAGTGCCGCCCCAGGGAGAGGCCAGAAGAGAGGCAGCCTGACCTCTTCGGGAGGGAAATGTCAATTAATTATCTTTTTACAGCCGAGCCAATTAGACTCCCTAATCACCTGTGTAGGACACCTTGGAGAAAGGTGGAGAAATGGCGGACAAACAAGGCCTTGAGGGCTGGAGCCACCGTGAAACGGCTGCCTTGGGCCGGGACCTGCCGCAAGGGGGCTGCACTACAGCCCATGATGTTTTCTCCGGTTAAGTGAATTCAAAAAATAAAACATTATTGGCCCCGCGGGGCAGGCAGCAGACTCGCTGGAGGCGGCCGGACACAGTGCATTAGCCTTCCACGGCTGCTGCATTAGCCAAGAAGCTGTGCAGGCGGTAGAGCCGGGCATTGCCTCGCCACGCTCAGGTGCACGCGGCCCCCGGCAGGATCTGGGCCGGGTCGGCCCCCGAGGGGTCCCTCAGCTTCCCCAGGGCCCACCGCCCCTGTGGAGGTCAGGGCCGGCTGTGGAGCGCACGTCAGGGTGGGGGCCGGGCCTCCCTGTGCACCCACATGTGGACACCCCGGAGTGTGGAGGTGCACTCCTTCCACGTGGCTTGCACACACTGAAGCCTCCACCATCCGGCTGAGCAGTGCCTTGGGCCCTCCTCGGCCATGTGGCCCAGGCACACTGCCTGACCCATGACAGCGCTGAGACACTCCACGGTAGGGACACCAACCCCTAGCTGCACCCGCCTCACCTCGGCCTGGGTTGGTTTACCCTTTGGCGGTACTGAGGATGGAGCCAGGCCTTCAGCACGCTAGGCCAGGGCTGTGCCACAGTGACAGCCCCACCCCTTTAATTTTAGTGTGAGATGAGGCCTTGATAGGTTGCTCCGGCCAGCCTCAAACTTGAGATCCTTCTGCCTCAGCCTTCCAGAGCCTGGGACTACAGGTGTGTTCTACCACAGTTATCTGTAGAAAGATTTTCCAATTCAAGCTTCCAAAAATGAATCTTTGGGAGCGAATGAGGGCTGAGGGTCAGCCTGGAGTTGTGGGTAGCCTGCGTGTTTCCAGTTGGGGTCTCAGGGTCCGTGGCTGGAGCACAGGCCAGCAAGAGCCACGAGTGGCACTGGGGGAAGAGCCCAGCACCCTGAGCACAGGACATGAACGTGACCCAAGCTGGGCCCCATCTGCCCATGCTCCCCACCTACCCAAGGCCCAAGTGGGAACCAGAGCCCCGAGCTCCCGGGTGTGGCGTGGGGCTCTGGGCTGCCCTGCACCTGTGTGCGTGGTCTCTCCCGAGGAGCGGCTCCCTCTCCAGGCCAGCTGAACTCCCTGAACAGCTGCAGCTCAGCTTCTCCACCCCCAGTTCCTCCTGGAGCCCAGGCGAGGGTGCCCCAGCCCGCCTCCAGACCCAGGCTAATTCGGGGTGCTTCTGAGTCTGCTTCTGGCACCCCACCCACCCGCCCGCACCTTCCCTTGGAGCCCCCCGCAAGCTGCTTGTACACTGTGCAGCGTACCTAGCCCTGCTGCCTGTCTCCACCACTGCCTGCCAGGGCCCAGCGCTCACAGGCTCCACAGCGGTGGACAGAGGGACGGGGCCATATGGTCAAAGTGGGCAGCACGGCGAGGAGAAACTGCTGACTGGGCACCCCCACTGGCCAGACTCCTGCCCAGAGGGTGCAAATGGGGGGCTGGGCAGGGCCAGTGGGGCCATAGCTGTCCCTGGGGCAGTCTGTGTCCCAGACTGTGGGCTCTGAAGTGGTCTGCAAGCTCCCCAGAGTCCTCACTGTGACTGGGAGCAGGGACACTCTGCAGAACCAGGGTCTCTGCCATGGCAAAATCCCGCGGGAGACAGACCTGACCCCTCCACGCACGGCCCTTGTCCTGTTCCCCCATTCCCAGCTCCACACAATGAACCACCAGGAGATGCGTAGAGCCACAAATGCAGCAGCCACAGGTGTACAGGATGGCTGCGGGCTCAGTGCCACGCTCCACAGGATGATGGCATGCTTGCCCTGTACACACAAGGCCCTGGTTCCAGCAGCAGTACTTGTATGCACACACACACACACACACACACACAGGCATGCACACACATGCATGCACATGCACACACAGGCATGCACACGCAGGCACATGCACACACACACAGGCGTGCACACACAGGCATGCACACACATGCACGCACACACACACAGGCACATGCACACGCACATGCAGGCATGCACACTCACATGCACACACATGCAAACACACACACACAGGCACATGCATGCACATGCACACACAGGCATGCACACACACAGGCACACGCAGGCATGTGCATGCACATGCATGTGTGCTTGCACTTCTGTCATCTATAGAAACGTAGCAGTGTAGCCCACAGTTGCTGGCCACCCCAGGCTCCTCTCCCAGCACCGTGGCCAGGTGGGAATGGACCCAGGGCCCAGGCGGAGCCAAAGAGGCAGAGTTGTCACTGTGCCCTTGCTTTGGGGGTCCCTCACTGCAGAGATCCCAATGCCTTCCAAGGTGGTGGGCCAGGCCTAGGAGCACCCCTCCGCCTGGCTTGCTGAGGTCCTATCAGGTGATGGGGGCAGTCAAGGTGGCGCTGGGGCGCCCACCTTTCATAACCACCCTGCAAGGCAGTGTCGGGGCAGACCCCAGGGGACCCTCTTTCCCCAAGTCCTGTGGCCACACCTCAAGCCTGTGGCATTCTGAGCTAGTCCAGCAGCCCAGGTCTCAGACTGCCCCCTCCGTGGCCTGCCCCTGGTCCTGAGGCCCACCCAGCCCTGACATGTTCTGGGATGCTCCGTGTCACCGTCTATGTCGGCACTGTGCACACAGCTCACACCTACCGTGACCCTCCAGCCCCATCTCCCAGCATGCAAAGCTCTCCTCACCTCCCTCTGTACTCCACCCCACCCTGACCTCACTAACGGGACCTCACGGCTTTCTGGGCTGAACAGTTTAGGACAGCGGGAGCTTGGGGAACAACCCAGCCGCAGGGGCCCCACGAGGAAGGGGACAGAGGAACATGCCATCACCCCAGGGTGTGGCAGAGCAGCCGTAGGTGCAGTGGATAGCCAGAGGGTGGGAGCGCCAGGCCCACCCGGTAACACAGCAGCCTAAGAGCGTTTCAGCCTACACAGCTGGCAGAGCCCGGGGGTTGGGGGGCGTCACCCTGCCCTCCCTGCCACCTTCCCAAGAGGGCACGGCACCTGTCAGGATCCCCCACCCTGTTTGCACAGAACTGCACCCTGATATCCAAGTGAACTTCCACTTTTATCCTGTTTTGGCACTGGAAGCAGCATAGTATCTTTTTATACTGTATTTTTCTGGGACATCCCCTCTATATAATATGCTGGATTCCTGGAAAAGGAATTTATAGCACCAACTTCCCTTTAAAAATACAGCTCTCTCGTGCTGCCCTGCCATAATTAGCTACAGACAATTAATACTAAAGTGTGGTGTCCCCAGGAGGGGCCGAGATCTCCAGGAACCTCTGCTCCACGCTCCTCCACTTTTATTGGCAGGGCTGCGTCAGCAGCAGAGGCACCTTGACTTCTGAGTCACCTTCCAGTGACGGCTGGTCCCTCCTGGACCCCATCTCACGAGTGCCCAAACCCATTCGTCCAGCGCTCGAGCAGGAGGCATCACTGGCCACCTCTAACTGCTCCCTGGGAGGTCTGGGTGGTGGAAAGCAGGCGGAAAGTGACGTGACCTCCTCTCCGCGCTGTGGGTCCCCAAGCCCCACTCGTGGGGGGGCCCGAGCCTGTCCTGGTGCCCACGCGGTCCGTCCACAACCACTGCGCCTGCTCTGGGAGCCATGGGAACTAATTGCGGGGCTGCGGCAGACGCCCCCCAGGAACGGGGCACACGAAAGGCTCCACGGCCGAGCGTGGGTGGGAATCACAAAAGGTCAGGAGACTAAATATAAAAATCCTCCTGGATGTGAAATCAGTGTTCTGCGTTGCTGAAATCTGGGTGCTGTAATTTATCCAAAATAGGGTTCAGAATATCTGGCCACTGTCCACGTCTGGGAGGTAATCTTTTCTTCTCAATGAAATGCAAACTGTCTACCGCAAAGTCAGAAACAATCAAACAACTGGGATATTCCATATCAACAGAATAACGGAGTATGCGTTTGGCAATTACACAGTACTGACACGCGGCCTTGGGAAGGAGACGACTCATGCCTAGGCGTGGAAGGGTGGTGCTGACCCGGTGTCACAGTGGGTCCCATGGCTTGTGCCACTGCACCGGCCTGTGGCGTGGGTGAAGCCCAGCTGGGCAGGGCGGGGCTGCCAAGGCTCTGGTGTGGCCACCTCCTGGGGTGCCGGTACCCCCCACCTGGGGACGGGGCCCCACGCAGCCCTGCTGCTGGCTCCGGCTCAGGAACGCCCTGAAACATGGATGATTGCTTCAGTTTGTGCACCGCCTGCCTGCTTTAATTTTAGGTGTGACTCAGGCGGCGCTCTGCTCTCGTGGGCAGCGGCCCGTGCCTGCCTGCAGTCCCACAGCCCCATGACGGCGATGGTGATGACAAACCCGGTGCTCAGGGCTGCGAGACCGGGAGTGCCTGGGGCATCCACGAGACAGGCCCTGGCGTCCCCTGCTCTGTGTACAAATGGGGGTCCACAGTGACTGAGGAGGGGCCTCCCCTTCCCTCGGGGTTTTTGTATAAAGAAGCAAACACCAGTGGGGCTGAAGCCACTGTGCTGTCTACTAAAAGCAGGTCTAAGCACGCAGTCTGCCAGGAAGAAGGGGAATCGGTGGGCACCACTTCAGCCCTGAGGGTGCAGGTGAGGCCCTCCTGGTCACTATGCTCGGCATGGGGTGAGGTGACCTGGACACGCCCCAGAGTCATCCTGGGTGTCTTCCTCGGGGCAGCCTGCTCCTGGCTCCTCCCTGCCATATGGAGTGGTCGTCGGGTGGCAGTGACATCTGCAGGTGTGTGTGGAGCCTGGGCATCTCCAGTGTGGGGCCACATGACTGCCCTTGGCCCCGACTCCCAGGAGTGGGTCTAGTGAGCGTGGTGAGTGTGCGGGGCTGGCTGGAGGGATGGGTCCCCGCTGACTGCTCCTGGGAAAGGGTTCCAGGTATGTTTCCCAGCGAGTGCAGCTGCTTTGGATTCCCAAGCTCTATGTTCTTTGGCTGGTGGCAAAAGGAAGCTCGGGGTCACCTGGCTCCCATTTGGTGTGGTGTGGCCAGAGGCAGCAGCAGGAATGGCGTGGCCAAGCTGTCTCCAGCCCCTCCCTGGCAGATGCCCTGGAGGTGTCCTTGCTGAAGGCTGGGCAGGTGGGAGACGGCTGGGGCCTGCAGGTAGGCAAGGTCGCCCTGGGCCTTGGTGGGAACCAGGCTCCCGTCACAGGAGAGCCAGGCAGGTGGGGTGGGCCCAAGACCCAGGTGGCTAGAGATGAGCAGGGACATGGTCCTATGTACCTGGAACCTGTCACTCCTTGTGGGTCGTGGCCTCACTCCTGGTGTGGAATCTGCCACCTACCAGGATGGGCTGCAGCTTTCGAACCGGCCCTGCTAGTCTCCTGACCAGGAGGCTGAGCAGTCTGGGCCCCAGCAGGGGCTGGGGCCTGTCAGTCGGCCAGACCGCACACTGGGGCCGAGCAGTGCTCTCGTGTGTGGTCCTTCTGGGGGACCCCATCCAGTACTGAAGCCCGCTGCCCAGGGTGTGGACACTTTGGAGCGCAGGAGGAGCCCAATCCACTGGCCGCTGCCCGGGGGTCAGATACCTCATCAGGGTCACCAAGACGCTGTCCCTGGCCCCTCCTAGGACTCACACTGAGTGTCGACTCCACAGCCCAGGCCACGCGCTGCACAGTTCAGCCTGGATGGAGCCCAGTGCTGGCACCTGCTCCGTGACAGCTCCAGGACAGCCTGGAGGCCTGCGCCTGTGCTCACACCAGAGGCTGATGCTGCCTTCAGGCTGTGTGGGCGTGCTCAGATGCCAGGTCACGTGTGACCACAGGGTCCCGGCAGCCCCAGGCCACACCCACCATACCAGCACGTAAGTGGTCCAGGACTGCCTGCTCCGGGCGGTTGCACCCCTCCCCTGGGATGCAATGGTGCTACGGGTTGCTGGGTCACAGGCTGGGGCCTCCCGGCCACCAAGCACTCAGCCTGCTCCCCGCCTGGCCCATCCTCCCAGCCTCCTCTTTCCTTGGCCTCTGTGAGCACACTGGCTCATCTGTCACCTCCACTCACCAGGCAGGTGGCTGGGACTGTCAGCCTGGCCACGGACAGCCCCGGCGTCCAGCGCAGAGTCTGGCTCTCCCTGGGATGGCAGCGAGGCGGTGGCAGTTCTGGGCCCCAGCCACAGTGACGCGGGGCATGACAGGGGGTAGGAGAGGCACTGGAACCCACTGGTGAGGAAACGGCACCACAGTGGGCTGGGGACCAGGCCACGGGACCCATGTCTGGACGGTGCTGGCCCAGCCCAGCCCGGGAACCGGCCTCAGGGAGGCACCCAGGGAATGTGGTCCTGCCGCCCCTGGGAGGCAGGGTCATTCTGAGTCTCCACCAGCTGTGCCCCTGCCCGGCCAGTCCTGGTACAAGGGCGTGGCCATGGGCGTGGGCGTGGCGGTGGCGGGGCTCACCCATCCGGTCCTCCTCACCCCTCAGCCCCCTGAGGGGCACCCCAGTGTCACAGCCTACTCACAGTGGAGTCTCGATGGGTTTCTCCAGGTGGGCCTCGTCCGCCCTGAAGAAGCTGACCTCCGAGTGCGCTGGGAGCTGCACACGCCGCACGCCCGCTGAGATGCGCAGGACCCGGCCACTCTCGCCTTCCAGCAGAGAAATCAGAGGCTGAGCCTGGAGCTGGGGGGCAGTGGATGTGCCCAGTGGCTTGCCTGGACCTTGCCCCAACGCTCCACTCCTTACTTGGTGTGACCACAGTCAGCACCGGCCAGTAACTTTGCTTGGGCCAGGATGTCAGGGCCCCCTCAGCCGGTGCCACAGCCCCCCACCTCAAGCCCTAGACTCCGCAAGTCTGACTCTGGGCCCCAACACCTGGCCTGCGGGCACCAGCCTATTGCCCACACTCTCGGAGCTCCTCACTGTGCTGCCCAAGGGCTTGGGTCCCCTGCAAAGCTGCTTTCACTATAGTCCTGCCACCATGACCCATCTCTACCCACATGGGGCCTGGCACGAGGCTGGTGCCCGACTCCAGGGCCAGCTGCCAGGTGCAGACGCTTTTGGCCCCCTGTCACTGCCCTGGGGACACAGCAGACAGCACTTGGCCCAGGTGACCTGGTGGGTGGCAGCAGGGTGGCTGTGTCCAAGTGGACAAGGGTGGGGAGGATGGCCAGGCCCACTGTGGGGTCTGGGCATGTTCCAGGCTCAGATGACTTGGAAGCAAGCAGGTTTCTGCAAACTGCAGACAAACACATTAAGCAGTAGGCCCCGGGGTGCCCGCCAGAGGGGCTTCAGACAGGGTCGCCTTGGGCCAGGGCCTCACAGGGACCAGGCTCCCAGGCCCAGACGCCCCGGCCAGCATTCTCAGGGTGCCTTGCTCTGAGCGTGGAGTGGCTGGGCTGGCTCAGCTCTCCTCCAGCCCAGCAACACTGCAGACACGGACCAGGGGTGAAAATGTCCAGGGCATACAGCTGCACCCAGAGCGAAGCTCAGCACGCCCCACAGCACCCAGCAAGGTCAAGGTTACCGTGTCTGTCGCCCAAGCAAAGGTCACCAGGCGTGACCCCGAGTGTGGGCAC